TATAACAAAGAGTGAAAAATTTAAGGGGGTCTGAATACTTTCCGTACCCACTGTATATATGGTATAAGATTCTGTGTGTAGATATATATATAAGATATATATATGTGTGTGTGTGTGTGTGTGTATATACACATACACACACACACACACGCATGTTGGTTTTTATGGTTTATGAGGACTCTCCATAGGCGTAATGGTTTTTATACTGTTCAAACCATATTTTCTGTTGCCCTACTCCAACCCTACCCCTAAACCTACCCCTCACAGGAAACTTTGTGCATTTTTAGATTTAAAAAAAACTTCATTCTGAATGATTTATAAGCCTTTTAAATTACGGGGACACTCAAAATGTCCTCATAAATCACCTTCTCGTTGTAATACCTATGTCATACCCATGTCATTATAAAAATTTGTGTCCTCATAAACCACATAAACATACACATACACACATATATTTTATAAGGTATGTTGTCATAATAAGTAGTAAATGTCTATCTAATACTGTTTGAGATTTAAGCAGCATTTGGGTTATTGTAGAAGTATTTGAATTTTTGGGGAAATTTATGACTATGAATCTAGTTTTGTACAGGATTAGATTGTCACACAGAGGCACTGAGTTTGCAAATATACTTTAGTAATAATAAGGACAAATCTGAACAGAGTCAACAGAACGTGTGGCTCTTTATACACTATTACTAAGTAGAGTAAAGCATTATATGAGACATCCTCATCTGCATCAGTGTGTGTGGTATAAGATTCTGGGTGTTTACCACTTTCTCTGTCCAGCTCTGTAGCCCAATATTGATCTGTAAAGTGAAGCCTTGTGATGTGATATGAAGCCAGTGGACGTCACAAAGACTGGACACACTCTCATCCTGCTGAGATCACTGTAGTAAATGATTCAAAACAAACAAGCAAATACAGCTTAGCACTGCGATAATGCAAATAATGCTTTGCTGTTTTGTTGCAATAACAGATGTGGTGCAGAAATGTGTGGGCTTATGAGCTGCCATGAAAAGAAATGCATTTTCTTGCAT